ATGTGCCGAAGCTATAACACTCGCGTCTTAATGCAATGGACAACTATAATTCACTCCACGTAAGCACATAATCACATAAGCACTTACGAATTTCATTTCGGGATAATGATAGTCCCGAGGCGTCACTAGAGTTCCGGTTAGAAACAGCATTAATCAAGTGCTTTTCCAACAAGACTCATAGAAACCCAAGGATCCAATCAACATCCTAGAAATTAAATCACATACCCAAATAGTCACATAAACATGTTGTCAAATAAACACATAATGTCATATATACGTCTCTAACAAGCGAGACGGACCCATTGTGATACTAACTACTTCCCGCGTACCCAAAGTATTCGAACCCGATACGCTCTGATACCAAGTTATAACGCCCTCAAAAATAAACCCATCATAACATACATTCACGATAAATAGAAGAGATTTCATATTACAACCATCAGAGTATTCTTACAAAAGGTATTACATGTTGACAACAAAAGTAAATGCCCCATAGGTTTACAACTTTCCAAGTCAACACTTAGTTACAAAAAGAAAGTACTAACTCTACACAAAATAAGCCCTTGGCTTGGTATACATGTAATACAACAAAACAACAAAAAGTAGTCTAACAGCCCCAAGCCTCCCAAGCTACGTCATTGGAGGTGGCATAACACCTATACCTGAAAATGATGTCCTATATAGGGTGAGTCAACGCCCAGTAGAGATATGCTAAACATAATATAAGCAATAACTAAAACATTAACACTTGATAAATGTTTAACTCATATAGATCAACATACTGTACAATCCAGTCCCATAATCATTCACTTAACAAAACTCAACTTATAAACACCGCTCAGAACCTGGCCAAACAACTTAAGCGAGACTACATCTCAAGCCAACAATACTTCAAACTGCCATTTCACGGAAATTGCGTCCGCGAGATTCGGCACCCATGTGTAATTATTTTCTCATGACCATTTTACGGAAATTTCATCCGCGGGACTTGGCACCCATGTATAGATATTTTCGGATTGCTATTTTACGAAAATTGCGTCCACGGGATTCGACACCCATGTATAGATATTTTGAATTGCCATTTTACGAAAAATTGCGTCCGCGGGATTCGGCACCCATGTGTGATTATTTTCGAATGGCCATTTTACGAAAATTTCATCCGCGGGATTCGGCACCCATGTTTTCAAATACACAACTTGATTAGTTTTAATTCACCTAATCATCATGCAGTGTCTACAACAATCAAGACTATCCTCCACCGATAGCCCAAAGTAGTTATTTCTAAACAAATAATAAATGCACCAACATGTAAATTATCAACATTTTCAAAGGTGAGTGATTAATGAATCCAACTCCACCATTCTACCTCATAATGAGCCAATTTCATAATTCCCAACTCAATTTCATAATTCCATAACATTCCCAAATTAATTATACAAATTAATTCATAACAAAAATTAGGGCTTTCTCCCTTTTTTTTCTCTACAATGACCCATAGGTCCCATATATCCTCAACAACAACAACACCATCATTTTAAGACCCAAGATATACATTATGAGTCAAAATAACCAAACCGCTCTGTATTCATTTTGAAACCCTAACACCCAAAATTACCCAACTTCGACAATACATCAAAATGACCAATAGTTTATGTCAAAGACCATAAAAATGAGTAGTTATCCCTACCTCAAATTCGGAGCTCAAAGGGAGAAGATGAAGAATTTCGAGATGCTCCAAATCCTAAGATTTTCGGATCCAAACGTAGCCCACAACGAGATCAACATTTTTTACAAAGGCCCAAGGATAGAGGATCACTCCTACTAAATCAAACCCTAGAGAGAAGTTGGAATTTTAGAGAGAGGTGCTCTCCAATGGAGGTTTTGAAAAAGTAGGAGAGAGAAAGAAAATCAAAAAGTGATCCAAAATGTCACTTTTCGGATTGAAATAGCAGTCGCCCCGCTCGAGCGTGGAACCCCCCACTCGAGCGTCAGACACAGACTCACGCTCGAGCGTCAAAAGCCCCGCTCGAGCGCCGGATGCACACTTCCAGAAGTTTTACAGACCATGATCCCCGCTCGAGCATCAAACTCCCCGCTTGAGCGGAGGAACAAAATCAAAAAGGGCCCGCTCGAGCATACGACGACCTGCAGAGCACAATGCTGAGAGATGAAAAACCACGCTTGAGCGTCAAAACTCCCGCTCGAGCGGAGAAGCAAAAAGGAAGGGTCTGCTCGAGCGTCAAAAGCCCCGCTCGAGCGTGAAGGCCAAAATCTAGGCATCAACACTAGGTTTCTAAACACAACCAACATGTTTCAAACCTGCCCAACACAACCCAAGACTCAAATACAAAGAGTAAATGATGTAAATGAGAATAAGATAACAACATAACCACGGAACCAAGTCCGGAATACAATAAACAAAGGAAGGGAAAATCGGGATCGCTATAACCCCCCAGCATAAATCCTGATTCTGTCGACTATTATTATGATGTTTTAACATGTAGGTCCTGTTAGAAAAATACATATTAGCATAGTATTAAGATGTTTTAAATTTTTATTGTCATATTTCTTTTGAGAATTTTTATTATAATTTTTTTTATCTCATAATTTTTAAAGATATACAATATCTCTATTTAAAAAATAAGTAAAAATTGTTCGTATATGTGAGTCCTTACTTTGTATTAGTGACTGCAATTTTTTTTTTTTTTACTATAGATATAGAAAAAAAAAATCAATAGATTAAATTGGGACCATTCATTTTTAATATATTTTTTAATAACTTGATATTTAAGCTACTAAACTGATTAATTTGAGGGACCAATCACATTGTCTACTTGTAGCAGCCCCAATTAAAGCTAAGGCAAAAGCTTTGTATTGACTGATCCCAACAAAATGTTTACACCTAGGAAGTTTCGAACTTCAAACCGTAGATAAAGCACACCTCCAAGTCCCGAGTCTTGACGACCAGCCCAACTCCTTGAAGTTTCATTTTTAATATGTAACCAAAGCCAAAAACATTTTTTTTGGGATATAATTATATATATATATATATATATAATCTCAATAGAATAAATTGGGAGCATTAATTTTTAACAATTAATTACAAATATAAAGATTATTTATATTCACGTAAACATAATCCAATTATTATAGAAGTTCAATGACCACCCTACTGAAGAATCTCATGACCAAGGTAAAATTTTCAAAATACAATAAAGAGCACAATAACGAAGTCAATCAAAAAAAATCCCATAATAAGGGAAAATTATTAATCTTTGCGTGTGGTAAAGATTTAATAAATTTAGAATTCAATCAAGCAAAATATTTATGGAATAAATGTCTATTGAGATCTCATGAAAATTAATGTCCATTAGATAATCATCATCCAAACACATAATAAAAATTAATTTGGTAAAAAAAAAAAATGTCTAAAAAAATTATCAATTTTACATAATTTTATTTTTAGTGGGTAAAAATAATTTTTAAAAATTCAAAAATATTTTTTTGACATTTATTTTTATCAAATTAATTTATATTTTATCAAATTAATTTATATTTTATCAAATTGACGTCTTTACCCTTGAAATTGAGAATGGTATCTTCAATTGTCCTTATTTGGAACAAGATTCAAAATTCAGGGTCACATGTGTCACAATTGAAAAGTCAGGAACCAAAGTGACACAATAGCCAAACTACAAGGACGGTTAGTGTAATTGACCAAAAAATAAAAATAAAAGAGTATTGCTATCTAAGACAAAAACAAAAAACAAAAAAAATTAGATTAAGTTTTCAAGTTCAGTGATGTGGTAATCAATTAAGATATTAAAGATAACACTCTCTCATATCTTTTCTAATTATCAACCAATCATATCACTTATATATCATTAGATCTAAAAAAATTGGTTGACTTGTATTTTATTTTTCAAAATAAAAATGCAAAAATCAATTGTATTGGACTTTTTCTAAATTTATTTCCAGTTTAATTTAATCCTCTGGACTGTGTGAGCACAACAAATAAACATTGGTTCGATTCTGTAGGGTGGGTCCCGTGTAGGGTCTATGTGAGTGTTGTATCAATTTTTTGGTAAAACATTTCCTAACATTATTAAAATGTTTTTTTTTCTTATTTTTCAATTAAAAAAAAAATGAAAAATACTTCTATATAAGGAGTCATGAAATTGCAAGAAATAAACGTTTCCATTGGCAAAAGACTTCTAGTCATAAGGATTTTCTATTTTTAAATTTTTTTCTGTTCATTTGTTTCAATACTTTTGAACTATCCTTTTTTTTTTTTTCTTTTTTTTTTTAAAAAAAATTTTTTTTCAAGGAGTGTTGTATCAATTTTTTGGTAAAACATTTCCTAACATTATTAAAATGTTTTTTTTTCTTATTTTTCAATTAAAAAAAATGAAAAATACTTCTATATAAAGAGTCATGAAATTGCAGGAAATAAACGTTTCCATTGGCAAAAGGCTTCTAGTCATAAGGATTTTCTATTTTTAAATTTTTTCTGTTCATTTGTTTCAATACTTTTGAACTATCCTTTTTTTTTTCTTTTTTTTTTAAATAAAATTTTATTTCAAGGATTTAGCCTTTTGTCATAACTTTCAATTCATGTTGACATCTTCCTAGTTTGCTCAAATTTAGAAGAATTTTTCAAAAAAGTGATTATAAGTATAGCATTTTTCTGGGTCTGCATACTTACTCTAGCATTACTCTTTTCAATTTCAATAGTCTAGATTGAATCAGGCTACATATGGAAGGAGTTGTGCATGGATTTGTATTTTTTGGTCCAATCCATTCTTTAAAATCTTGAAAAAAGAGAGAGCTACATTTCAGCAATTACAATAATTTTGTCTTCAAAGATTTGGAAAGGATCAATCCAATCCATGTAGTAATTGAGCTCTCTCTATATATATCTTAATCCCTTTGATTTTCATGCCATTTCTTCAATAACCATCCTAAGCAAATAAACCTAGCAACACCCCCCAATAAAAAAAATGCAGATTCATTCGTTAACTTTCATTGTGTTCTTGCTCGTATCTACTTGTTTTGGTCTCTCTAGAGCCATAGAATGCAGAGTAAATGTAAAAAATCCATCAAAATATGCATATACTATCACTGTTGATCAAACTGGCAAAGGAAATTTTGTTACAATTCAAAAGGCTGTTGATTCTGTTCCTTCCAACAATGATCAGTGGCTTCGCATCCATGTTCATCCCGGCATCTACATGTAATCTTTTGACTTATTTATTTATTTATATTTTTTTTTCTGAAATTATGATCGAAGTATTACATATCGTTGTGAATGCAGGGAGAAGGTAACCATTCCTAAGGAGAAACAATGCATATTTCTTGAGGGAAGTGGGTATACCCAAACAACAATTTCAGGGGAAGACCATTCCCAAACAGATTCTAGTGCTACATTCACCGTGTTACCGGACAATTTTGTTGCCAAGGGCATTGCCTTCATGGTAAAATACCTCCAAAAAACACATAAAAAATAAAAATAAAAATAAATTTGTTAGGTTTTGACTTGTATCCCTGCAATGGAAAATGTTATGGTGTGTATGCATCCTATCACAAAATGTATAACTTTATTACAAAATTTCGTAATATCAATCATAAAATGCGTAATTTGGCCACAAATTAACGTAACATGTCCAAAATTTTATGGTTGATGTTTCAAAAATTTGTGGTTTGATTATGATATTTTTTATTACTTCAATTTGTAGCAAGGTTATGCATTTTATGATTAATGTTATGAAATTTTATGATAAAATTACACATTTTGTGGTAGAGGTAGATATGATAAGCACCCTTAAAGGGATGCACACCATAGGAAAACCCCCCTGCAATATATAGAAAATTTATGAATGCTAAATTTCAAGGTGTTATTCACTGTATTACCAGTTTATGTGTTTTATTTTTAGTTTTTTCTCTATTGTTTTAATTTGTTTTTTCTTGGAAGGATTGTGGCTAGCTGCTATATGCTTTGAAGTGTATGCATGAACAAAATAAGAAATAGGATTATGAAAATGTCGGTCATAAGTGGCTTATCAAGTTTCCAAACCATTTAGTTTAAGATATGCTTGTTTGGTTTGTTTGTTTTTTTGTTTTTGTTTTGTATTTTCATTTTTCAGAAAACACGAATTAGATATTTAGCTTGTTTGGTTTTTGTAAAAGGATTAGCTCACACCCTGTTCGGAACCTAGAAGAGAAATAAAAAGAAATGATTACACAAGGTAGGAGTGAAAAGAAAAGAAGAAATTTTTTTCGTGATTTATCTCCTTTTTATTTGGTTAAATTACAAACTAAAAAAAAAAGAGAACAAAATTATTTCACGTTATATTACTAAATTAATCTTTTACAGTGTCGTTTTTAAAAAAAAAATTCTATATCTAAAAGGACAAATTTGGCATTACAAAAAATAGTAAGGGAAATTACAACGACGACGACGACAAAAAACTAAAATTTGAGTTTTGTAACAAAATAAATCTTGAGTTTTTTATTTTGTCAATTTAAATCCTAATCTTTTTATTTGTTTCCAATCTAAATTATTTGTCTATTTTCGTTAAGTAAAACAGATGAAAAAAAAGTATTTTAATAATTAAACTCAATCTAAGTATACGTAAAATATCCAAAATACCTTTTTTTATTGAGTTTAATAATTAAAATATTATTTTTTTCAATCGATTTTACTTAATGGAAATCGGTAAATAGTTTATATTGAAAATAAAAAAAAATAAATTTAAATTGACAAAATTAAAATCTCAAGATTTATTTTGTTATAACCTTAGAGTTTTTGTAATTTCCCCAAATAGTAATAAGTTAATTGGTTTCTTTCTCTTCCCAATCTCTCTACTTTTTAAAATGAGTATTATAAAAGAAATAAGTTTCTCTCAAATTTTTCCATTTCATCACATTTATATCATATTCACTTACCCAAACAAGTGATAAATACATTTAGAAAATTCCTATTCATACATAAAATTCACAAGAATAATACGGTAATGTCATTCTATTCTTATTCAATGGTGTTTTTTTGTGAAGTAAAAGATGTATTTTTTTTTTTTTTTTGAACGAGTAAAAGGTATAAATTGAGTCACATCATTATGTGTGAAAATTTTGTATGAATTTTTTGTTTGTATAACATTACATGCATTTATTTTCTTATCAAATTATTTATATCAATTCTTCTACTTGCATAAAAACCAATCACATAATCAAATACAACCACTTCACATGATGGGTATGGGATCCGAAAAAAATTAGTCCAATCCCATGTAAAAGAGTTATATATCTTATTTTATTATTGATTTTTGTGTGGTTAGACTTTTAATACTAACAATGTTGTGATTATACAATTGAAGAACTCATATAACAGGCCAATTGTGGTAGATGAAGTGAAGCCAGCAGTTGCAACAAGGATATATGGAGACAAAGCAGCTTTTTATGATTGTGCATTCTTGGGATTTCAAGACACATTATGGGATGTTGAAGGTCGCCATTACTTTAATTCTTGCTACATTGAAGGTGCCATTGATTTCATTTGGGGTGATGGCCAATCTTTCTTTGAGGTAATTCTCAGCATGTTCTTTTTTTGAGAGGTGATTTTTCTTACTCCTGAGAGGGATTCGAGTTGGTAAATGTGTATGCTATTTTGTTTGGTTGGTTGGTTTATTGGCTAAGGTTGGGTGACCTCTAAACTTTGAGTTTACTCTCTTAGATGGGTCCAGGTGACCATGCTTAGAATAGGTTCTCCATCATTTAAAAAAAAAAAAAAAAGGATTTTTCTTAATGAGTTGTATTTTTAATTTTCATTTCTTTCATAAACAAAATAATAAGTGTTTGAAAATACATCGTTTTAATTTTTGCGCAAAAATAACTTTTTAGGTCTTGTTTGGTTTGTGATTTTTGACTCAAAAATTAAAAAGTCAAAAAATCACAAAAAAATTAAAATATCACGTTACATACATCAATCAAATTATTTTTATTCACAACTATCTACTAGATTAAAAAATATTCCAAACACACTAGATTAGTGTTATTTTTGTGCAAAAATAATTTTTGAAAATTCCAAAATAACTATGTGGTCTTTTCCATTGATTTTGGATTTGGGAGTGATTTGTTGAGGAAAAGAAAAAGAGAAGGGATGACTTTTCTTTTTACTATACAAATCCTTTTACAAAGGCTCATTTTGGGAAGTACATTAAAAGTTTGTTTTTTCGATTTTTTAATTTTTTTTGAAAAAATATACAAAAAAAAAAAGTAGAAAAGTAATATAATTCAAAAAAGTCAAAAAATTGACTTTTAATCGTGTTGCCAAAACAGGTCATATGCAATATCCAAACTCAATCTAAAAAATAGTTTTCATGAATTAATTTATTTATTTTTAAGTAGTATTCAAAATTAGTTCACCAAACAAAAATTTTATAATTTAAGAAAATGAAATAGAAACAATAAATCAAAACACAAACTAAGGTCATATCTCCATCTAAGTTGCACTGTTCTTGATATTGTTTTGTGCAGAACGGTTCAGAAAAATCGAAAACTACTTTTCGGTGTTTATTTTGGTCAAAAACAACATTTCGGTATTTCATACTACAAAATTAGTTGTTTTCATAAAAAGAAAATACAAGCATAATTTTTTATACATAACTACAGAATGATATGAGAGTACTATTTTTACAAAATTGAAACTCAATCATAGATGTTTTGCCTTAAAATAAAAGGACCACATAGTGCTATACTATCATGTATAACAACACCTTTTTAGGAAATCTTCATGAAAGCAATTTGCCAAATGTGTTTTCTGAAAACTGAAAATGGAAAAACAAAATACAAAGTTTCATTTGTGCTGTTTGTTGGTTTGTTGACATACATATATATATATTTTTTTTGGTGTGAAGGAGTGTAGAATAAATGTGACAGCAGGGTTACTACCATCACAAGTATCAGCGGGATATATAACAGCACAGGGAAGGCAATCAGAAGAAGATCCTGGTGGTTTCGTGTTTGAGAATGGTTATGTTTTTGGGACTGGCCAAGCCTATCTCGGTCATCATACCGTCCTTACTCCCGAGTTATTTTTCATGGTACTACGTTGGATTCAGTGGTGGTTTCTGCTGGATGGGATGCTTCGAAATACCAAGGCCATGAGTATGTTCACTACCTTAGCTTATATTTCCTTTCATACATTCATTCATACAATTATTATATATACATATCCGTGCAAATTAATGGAGGTTGTGACCTAGTTGAGATGAAGAGTAGAATCCATTGCCAACCTAGTAGTTGTGCGACTACGAATCCCAAAAAATGAGAGTAAGACAATATGAATGAAATTGACTAATTCAAAACACTAGGATTGACCTCTCCACAAAACCCACTGATTGTGGGTCGAGTCACGAAAGTTAATCTCTTTATAAAATGTCAGAGTCAGATTGCTTATTTTAAATTTTCAAAATCAACCTCTTTACCAACAAAGAAAAATGAGAGTGAGATTGGCTAATTTGAATAACGAGAATTGACATCTCCACCAAAAATATATAAGTAATTTTGCTTACTTCAAATAATGGACAAAAATCTATGCATTGAAAAATTTGGAGTGATTGTTTACTTAGTGAATTTCTTAAATTTTGTTCTAAGCGAGAGCCTTGTGCACTCCAAAGTTATGGTAGAAGCAAAAAAAAATGAAACTCCTACTCTGAAGCAAATTTTATTTAGCAATTTTATTTTATTGCCTTAGTGTTTTCTTTTTGCAAAGTTTGTTAAAATATTTTCTCTTTAAGATTCTACCAGGCTAGACAAGCTTTAAAAAATTTATACAAAAAAAAAAAGTGGGCTAAATCAGGAAAAAAAATTACAAAAAAACAAATAAAGTCAATTTTCTTGGGTTTTCTTTCTTTCTTTTTTTTATAACTTTTTTTAGTGAATATTTTTAAAAAATCACTTTAATATTTTTAAAACTCTTAAGACCATCTAATGCAGCAAAGGTAAATATAAATTTTAAAAAATAACTAAAAAAATTCAAATAAAAAGTGACTAAATAATTTACTTGTACATTATATAATGCTCTTTGGTTTTGTGTTTGTTTGCAAAATTAACATAGAGAGAATTTGACGTATGCGGAGATTGGGTGTAAAGGAGCAGGAGCTTCCACTTCGAAGCGTGTAGAATGGGAGAAAAAAAACTTTGACGGCTCATTACAAAAAGAGTTTTCAAGAGACCGTTTCATCAACAAAGATGGGTGGCTTGGCAATCAACCAATGAGTTCATGACTTTGCACATCTTTTTTTGTGCAGCTATTTACTTTAAAATCTCAAATTTACTACTCATCTTAACATTTGAAGTCATTCTTGCAAAATGTATTTATTCATCAAGACACAAATCTAATACCACTCAAATTGGTAACCTTTTCATTTTAGAAAAGATTGTGCTCGATCCATTGTAGCTCCTCACTAGATGTTTTTAATTTATTTGTTTTGTGTGGAAATGAGTCAATTACAAAGGGTGTGTTTGGTAACGTTTACGTTTTCAGTTTATATTTACAAAAATTTTATAAACTGGTTTTTTTTTATTTTTTGTTTATTTTTAGAAAAACATAAACTACAAACGCGTTTGGTAATTGACAAAATGTTTAAAAAAAATTTAAAATATAAAAAAGAGTTAGAAATGACAAGTGGTGGCAAGTGGCGACGGAAGACGGTGGTGGAAAATGGTGACGGTGGGTGGTAAGTAGGTGGTTGTTTGTTTGCAAAATTAACATAGAGAGAATTTGACGTATGCGGAGATTGGGTGTAAAGGAGCAGGAGCTTCCACTTCGAAGCGTGTAGAGTGGGAGAAAAACAACTTTGACGGCTCATTACTACAAGAGTTTTCAAGAGACCGTTTCATCAACAAAGATGGGTGGCTTGGCAATCAACCAATGAGTTCATGACTTTGCACATCTTTTTTGTGCAGCTATTAACTTTAAAATCTCAAATTTACTACTCATCTTAACATTTGAAGTCATTCTTGCAAAATGTATTTATTCATCAAGACACAAATCTAATACCATTCAAATTGGTAACCTTTTCATTTTGGAAAAGATTGTGCTCCATCCATTGTAGCTCCTCACTAGATGTTTTTAATTTATTTGTTTTGTGTGGAAATGAGTCAATTACAAATTAAATCATGGATTGAGAATAAGGCACCGAAAAAAACTATAAGAATCGATGCCTATGTATTGATGTGGAGTACGTTGCTACATCAAGATCCTATGCCAAACGGTAAAAGGGTAACGAAATTAAATCATAAGATTGGATCATTAATTGTAAAATTATTCTTTTTTTGTATAAAAGATATATAGTAACAAATTATCAATAATATTGATTTCTATTAAAATAAGGTACATTTTCACTTCATATAGAATGTTTTTGATAGCACACTTTGTGTTTTTAAAGTGTACCAAATTGATATTTGCAATATTATATTGCTCTTAAGATGATTTTCTAATAAAATGGTCTCACGAAATTTTTGACTTTATTTTTCTTTTCTTTTTCTTTTCTTTTTTTTAGAGGGATGCTTTCTAAGAGATTGCTAGATGATTGAACACTATATTTTTTCATGATCAACCACTCATTAACAGCTTGATAGGGGATTAAGCGTCTTGCTTAGGGCCTGATCACATGCCCTACTCTTATAAAAAGTTTAATTTGACGTGTTTTAAGATCTCTGATATAAAATTGTAATAAATAAATATAATAGAGCATAATGGTCATTATAATCTATGATATTTGCATCTAATAGATTTTAAATATCGTAGATTTCATGTTTAGAACAGAACCAATAAATATAATAGATTTTAAACTAATGATCCTAATTGTAATCAATATAATCTATGATACTAGTAATAAATATAATAGATCAAATATCGTAGATTTTAAGATCTATGATTTATAAACTAGTAATAAATATAATGCCATGCAAATATCATACATTTCGTGTTTTAAGTTTTTAATCCCCCAAAATGAAAAGGACTAACAAAATAGAGATGGAGTAATAAATATAATAACCATAATGATATCGGTGGTGCTACATATACTAATTAATATACACATTAGTGAACCAACTAGTGTTATGCCATTATTACTGACCTCACCTATTATACAAATTACAAATATCCAAAATTTCTAAAATTATATCACATCATCTGTTAGTATATTAGTTAGTATATTAATTGGTATATATAGCATTATTCTAATGATATACATGCCATGCAAATCTCTACATGAAAGAGTAAACATATCATTTATTCTATAAATCTCCATAAATAAATGAAAATAGAAGAAACATTTATGATAATCATAAATATATCATTTATATATGTGCTATGAAAATCTCAAAAAAAAAAAAAAAGAAAAAAAAGAAGAAGAAATGCTAATATCCATTTCTATTTAAATCAAGAATAAAATAGCCATTAAAAATTACTAAAAGTTAAAAGTGAGAATTCATCTCCTCACAGTTCTGAACTTTTTAGGAGCAAAGCGAGCATTAAATATGAAGCCTTTCATATATATTAAAAAAAATAATACTCATAAAAATCTGCTAAATTTTACTTAGATATATAACAAAGTTTACAATAGCAAAAAAGGACCAAAATATTAGTTGAAATACTTAAAAAAGTGATCAAAAAATAACAAAGTATCATTTGAAATATATTTTCTAGGAATCATGATTGAGGCCTCAAATTATTTACAGTTAATTCTAAAAATTTTAGAATATAAATTGAGACCTTAAGGGATGTTTGGGGAGAGAGTTTAGACATTTTTTGAGTTTGTTTGGTTGTATATTTTGAAAGTAATTTTGGAGTTTGAGAGTTTAAAATGATTTGATATTTTGTTATAATTGAGTAGATGTATGTGAGAAAAAAAGTGATTGAGAAAGTAAGAAAAGAGAGAAAAAGTGATTGATTGATGTGTAAGAGAGGATTTTGAAATTATTTTTTTTTGAGAAAAACCACAAACCAAACAAAATTTTAGAAAAAAAATTCAAAAACAACTCTCCTAAATCAAACCAAACAAACCCTAAGTTTTTAGGCATTTTTAATTCAATTTGGGTTTTGTATGAATCATAATTTTAGATGATTCTATTTGCATCCAAATAATAATTCAGTACGTTCAATTAAAATTTTAAAATTTTAATTTTTATTATACCTTAATATAAATTTTCTAATAAGAAAAACACACATTGAACTCTAAAATATATTTTTTTTCCCTTCATGTTACACCTAAGTCAGTTGTATGTATTCTTCATGTTTAACTCTCTTCATCTGTTTCACTAAATTTTAATTATTTTTTCTTCATCTTCTTCTTCATTCCAAACTCTAATCTATTCCTCAAAAAACTCATCATTTTCATCAATATCATCATTATGATTATTATTATTATTATTATTATTATTATTATAGTGAAAAAGGTAGGAATTATAATATTGTGTTATGCCCTATTTTGATAATACGGTTAAAAGTTAATTTTTTTTTGACTCTTTTTAATTTTTTTTTAATCATATTACCTTTCTATTTTTTTGTAGTATATTTTTTCAAAAAAAAAATTAAAAACAATCAAAAAAAAATTAATTTTTAATCTCCTTTTCAAAATAGGCCTCAATCTACGACAACATGATGGGAGACCTGAGGTGGAACCTTTTCCATCCATACATGTAAACCTACAAAATGAAAAGCTGAGCATTAAAATTGTCCTCCCCGCGTACATGAGAACCAGTAAACATCCAAAAAGTGCAACCCATGCTGCGAACGCCTTCTCTATAGAATTAATACCTCTGATAACAGTCAAGGAATCCCCCAATCATTAAGTGATTCTGATGCATCACCACCAGTGTGCTTCGCTGGTGCCGTCATTACGTATTTGTGAATTTAAATAGCGGATTTGGTTATAGGCTTTTCACTATCTAATTTATCTTTTAAAAGGGCAAAAATTATATAAATACTTTCAAAATTCTCTAATATTTTAAAACTTATTTCTTTTATTATACTCTCTTCATATCTATCAGCTCTCCTATTAAGTCATTCTCACAATGTATTTCAGAGTAAAATTTTACTTTGAAAGTACAATTTTACTCTAAATCAGAGTAAAATTTACTATGATTCAAAGTAAATTTTTATATCGTTAAGCAAATTAACATGTTTTTAATCAGAATAAAATTTTACTGTTACAAAAAATAAAATATATACTAAATGAACGAACCAGAGTCAAATTTTACTCTTACATCTATTAACAAATAAAAAATAAAAAGTCAATTGGAAACAACAATCAATCTCTCTCTCTCTCTCTCCCTCGATCAACCTCTCTCTCTTCCATTATTTGATTTCACACACACACACAGAGAAAATTACAACAAAAATAATGAAAAACGCATATGAAGCACATAATGATACAGACTTGTATGTGAATAATGGTTACATAAAATGGAAATAAAGCACATGAAGCGGACAGAAGCAAACAACTAGGTTCAACTAGGTTCGATAGAAGCAAACAACTAGGTGAGATCATCATCGTCCTCAAGAAGTCGACGACGATTGAAGCTATTAGAAAGGGGTTTTGAATCTCAGCCAGAACCACTGGGTGTCGCGGATCTCGACGACAGTAGATAAGAGAATTTCGATGAAGATGGTGAGGGACATGAGGGACATGGAGAGGTTGTGGAGGGCCGAGGGGAAAGGGGCGGTGGCTGAAGCGAAAGAGAAGAGAGAGGTGGAGGTAAAGGAAGAGAGAGAAAGTGATGCAGAAGGAGATTGTGGGAAGATTTAATTGAGGGTATAATAGTCTAATAAAATATTTAAATAATAAATTTTATCCTTTATGCAAAACTTTATAATTATGAGGGGATTTTGAAAGTATAATTTTTTTCTTGGTCTTTTTAACAATAAAAGGAAGGTAAGGGGGGTTTATAGCCAAATTTTGCTATTTAAATAGATATTATAATGAACACAAATATCGACACTCCAATTTTTTTTTTTTTTTTTTTTTTGAGAACATCATAGGAAATTAAATGACAAAATAACTTATTAAATTGAAAATTTAACGTCTTAATAGGAAAATTTTAATTCTCACACAACCAAAAGTTTAACAACACTAAATAAAATAAAAATTTAAAAGTCCAAATACAACATTAAGCGACATTATAACATTCTTAATCATTAATATATAAGATGGTAAAATTTTATTTTGATAAAATCATGGCTTCAAGTTAGCCATGGCTCTATATTAGCAGCGGCTCCAATTTCAGCTTCCACTCAGTCCTCGTCAAAATCTGGCATAAAATGCTAGGGCAACAAAACATATGTCATGAGTTTTGCAATACAGTAAGAAAACATAACAAACCTATCATTATTTTTAAGAGAAAATAATCATATTAAAAAAATAACGAAATTAATAGAATAACATTATAACAACCATTAAAATAATTTTTAACAATTTTAATAGTTTGGGTGACACTCAGAATCTCACCAAAGAGATTTTCTTACCAACCATGAAGTCAAGTGTACCAAGGACGCCCACACCCAGAGTTATATACCTAAGCCGTGGCATCCGTGGTCTACCCCAAGGGAATGGTCTGCTAGGGGTACGTAACCTCCCTGCGTCCTACCCGCATATCCACCCTTATCTCAACACCAAATACCGATAAGGGTTCAAATAAGTCTCGTGCCATCTTAGGGTTTCGCGACATAATTATATAAAAATTATCAAAATCCAGGGCTCACCCTAAATTACTGGTATTAACCCTCAATCATTAATTTGTACATGTCGTTAATCATTTTAGTTAATTTTTATATTAATCACAAATAATTACAAATTTCAATCACCATAAGTGTTATATCATTTCATTAAAATTCCCAACAAAAAATATTACACATATGTTATACAATAATCAAACAATGTACAAAATTATAACAAACAGTTAAATGAAACCATGGTATGAAATGATAATTTTAGATAGTTAAAAGTGAACCACAATCACACACATGCATGGAATACTAATTTACAGGATTTAATTAATTGGACCAGTACAATATTTATTTTTAGTCCTAATAATTCGTCAGAAGCAAACAACTAGGTGAGATCACCATCGTCCTCAAGAAGTCGACGACGATTGAAGCTATTAGAAAGGGGTTTTGGATCTCAGCCAGAATCACTGAGTGTCGCGGATCTCGACGACAGTAGATAAGAGAATTTCGGTGAAGATGGTGAGGGAGATGAGGGACATGGAGAGGTTGTGGAGGGCCGAGGGGAAAGGGGTGGTAGCTGAGGCGAAAGAGAAGAGAGAGGGTGGAGGTAAAGAAAGAGAGAGAAAGTGATGCAGAAGGAGATGGTGGGAAGATTTAATTGAGGGTATAATAGTCTGATAAAATATTTAAATAATAAATTTTATCCTTTATACAAAACTTTATAATTATGAGGGGATTTTGAAAGTATAATTTTTTTCTTGGTCTTTTTAACAATAAAAGGAAGGTAAGGGGGGTTTATAGCGAAAGTATAATTTTTTTCTTGGTCTTTTTAACAATAAAAGGAAGGTAAGGGGGGTTTATAGCCAAATTTCCTATTTAAATAGATATTATAATGAACACAAATACCGACACTCCAATTTTTTATTTTTATTTCTTTTGATGATTGGGCATCCGGGTCAATTTACTTGCATCTCGACTAATCTCAAGATCCACACAAATCGCCCCCTTCACGTGAATCAGGTAAATCTCAGACAAAACCCGCGGGCGTGACCCCAAGGAACGGATTACTCCTAATGGGAGTTGAACCTGAAACTTAGAGGGAATACACTCTTAGATCTCAAGTTGCACCTACTAAGCCTATTCTTTGAAATTACCGACACCCCCATATACAAGGCTACCATAGAGAAAAATGATATCCTCGTTGAATTTTCATACAAAATTTAATATCAGAATAATGTGATGTTGATATTATTAAAATATAAATAATTGTAATAAGTCATTTTGCCCTACATTGATAAAATCAAAACTTATCATATTATTTTATATTGATATACAACCAAATTATTATGCATTTGAAGAAGAAAAAAAAAAAAACATGATGATGATACCCTATTTTTATGCTGTGTTTGGTTGGAGAATTTAAGGAGGGATTTGAAAAAGGAAATGAAAAAGGTAGGTGAAATGTGAATATATCATGTCTATATTTCACATAGTTTCACACACCTTTTCTTTTTCCCTTTCCAAATCCCTCCCCAAATCTCCCAACCAAACACAGCATTAATCTCTCACTCTACTGAGTAAAAGACAAAAGACCCCCCAAAAATGTGTGAAGTTAAAATTGAAGTGTAATATAGTTTAGATTAAATTTAGATTATGAATTTAAATAGAGATTTATAAAGTGAAAGAAAAATGTAACTAAAATATAATTTAAAAACATTCTCCATTACCCTCGTCACTTTTTTTTTTTTTTTTTTCAAAATTTTACTCAAATCTATAATTTAAACATAACTTTAAGAAATAAAAAATAAAAAATAAAAAAATGGACAGTTGTGACTTGCAAAATGCAAACAAAATACAAGCAGGACAATGCAAGGCTTCATTTTCAGTAGGTCCCTTTCCCTTTGACTCTTGGAAGAGTAGCTTCACCATTCTCCTTCCTACCCAATGGGGTCCCTCTTGGAATAGTCTAACAACTAGACCCCGTAAAGATTGTTTTGTTTTGATAATTCTCATGTAGTTTCCTTTTCACTTGTCCAATCTTCTTTTTTTAATAAAATAAAATAAAATTTATCAATGCTGTGGATGGCCAGAGCTATACATACAAACTTGCGGAAATAATTTTTTTAATTTTTTTTAGAATTCTCTCAAAATTTGAATTAAAAGAAGAGAAAAGAAAAATTTACCTATGGTAATTCATTTAGTTTCAAAGATTTTCTTATAAATCAATTAGTCTCATTGATTTTAGAAAGGCAGATTTAATATATTATTCAAAAATTAAATTTACGGTTATACCTTTATTTCTATTATGTTTCTTTTTTTTTGGGTAAATTACAAATACATCCCTTAAAGTTTGATTAAAATACGAATCGCCCATGTGATTTTGAAAATTACATTCCATCCCCTGAGATTTCTAATTCATAACTAATCGCTCCTTTTATTAATAAATCATCAAATCAATTAACAGTTTTTAATGATATTAAAAATCTATTTCAATTAATAATTTAGATAATTTTATTATTGTATCGGAGAGCAATTATGAATTTCATTTTTTTAGTTAATTCTGTTAAATAAAAAATTCTAATAAAGGGATATTTGTAATTTTTCAAACCACAGGGGGCAATCTATATTTTAAGCAAACCTCAGAGTGTGTATTTTGTAATTTACCTTTTTTTTTTTTTTTTTTGGTGCTAGAAATGTAAGATACACAATATATGATAATCAAATTTGGGATAAATTTTTATATGAGAATTTTTTTATTTGGAAAACATTTCAAAATGAGTACAAAAATGACTTGTAATATGGGATTTTTCAAACATTTTAAAATGAATACAAAGGCTCCTTGGTATGTTTTGAATAAATGTATAATTTCAAACTGTAAAACATTCAAACATAACGCTTCAATGTAACACTCTAAAAAAACTCTCTAGTGTACTTTTTACAAACGTAACACTCCAATATAATACTCCAAAAAAACTCCTTAATATAACACACAAAAAACTCCTTAATCTACTTTTTTCAAATGTAATACTCCAAAAAAAAGATGTGGAATTCTTCAAACCATTTCAAAAGTACAAAAAGTACTTAGTAAGTTTTGGACAAATGTATAATTTCAAACTGTGAGTGTTACGTTTGGAAAAAATATACTAAGGAATTTTTGTGTTTTTGTGTGTGTTATATTGGAGTGTATTACATTAAGGTGTTACGTTTGGGATTACATTGATTAGATTGCTATGTTTGAAAAAAGCACACTAAGAATTTTTTTTTGTGTGTTACGTTATAGTGTTATGTTTGTAAAAAAATACGTTAAGATTTTTTTTTATATATATATTTTTTAGAGTGTTACATTATTACATTTGGAAAAAGTATACTAAGAAGTTTTTTAGTATGTTACATTAGACCATCTCCAATGGTTCAGCAAACCTGATATCAAATTCAAAATTTGATGAAAAAGTCACTTTTTTGAGCTCCAACGGTTTCACCAAATCGATATCAAATCCAGAATTCAGCAAATCTTTTACCAAAATGAGAACAGGCGAAGTATTTTATCAAATCACTGTTCCTAATCGTTGGGAGAGACTAACCGGTCAACCAGCCGGTTGCCCGGCCGGTTGACCAACCGGTCGACCGCCTAAAGGTTCAAACGGTTCGAAGAAAAGGTTCAAACAGTAAAAAAAAAAAAAAAAAAAAATTTTGCCTAACCGGTCGACCAGCCGGTCGACCACTAAAAGATTCAAAAAGTTCAAAAAAAAAAAAAAATTTCGCTTAACCAGTCGACCAACCGGTTGTCCCCGGCACAAATTTGATGAAAGTGCACCGTTGGAGCGAGTGGTGTTAAATTGGTAAAATGAGTCATTTTTTACTCAAATTTGGTGAAAAATCTGATTCACCGTTGGAGATGCTCTTAGAGTGTTACATTATTAGATTGTTATGTATTTGTTCGTAATGTGAGATTTGTTCTAGAATGAGAGAAAATCCAAAACCTCTATAGTATGGATTGCCCAAATGTGTAATTTGACATTTGGAGAAACTTACTTTTATTCCTTAAAAATTAAAGCCAAACATGTAAGTTACTATCCTTTTATGTAATTTTTCCTTTAATAAGAACTTTGGATTCATAAAAAAAAAAAAAAAATAGAAGATTAAGCAGTTCGCAAGATCACATTTTAAAATTTATTAGAGATACATCTTTAAAAGAAATTTGAAACAGGTTATCAAATAAGTCGTAATATATTTTTTAAAAACAAAAACAATACCTTTGGGGTAAAGAAGAAAAAAAAATTGTGCAGAAGTACCCACAAAAGTACCAGTGTTGGCCATTTTTTAAACTGAGTTCAGAACACAGATGGATATGAGAGCCCCAACTGTATTTGGTATCTCCCCATGAAAACTGTTGCATGAGAAATCAGTGTTTCAAGCACAACCAAACAAGAAGAAATGAAATCCCTGTTGATTTCTTTTCCTTTTTCTTCATAGTTACCAAGTTCCAAACAGAGCCTCAACACTTCATATGTTACAAGTTAAACATTCGTATCCATTTTTTGACTAAATATCTCAAAATCCTTCTTCAATGTTGAGACAAGTGCTTAAGCAAAAAAGGGCAAAGCCAAATTTTATGCTAAATTTAACTAAGTGTAAAAAAAGTCTTTTTTGCCATGGCATCAAAACTAAACAATGATCACAATAGACTTTTTGAGGAGTAGATCCAATGGCCAAAAATGAATATGAGAATTGGTTTTGTCAAAATAGCGTGTGAACTATTATTAGAGTGATATATTAAAAAAATTGACTTGTTTGCACTATAACAAGCAAAGCTATTTTAATTTTTACCTTTGAAGTTGCTGTTGTAGTGTTTGATTCTCCATAAACCGAAGAACTTAGGTAGTGTCAAGAATCGTATGACATTATTTACGTGGTACGTCCGATAAATTAAGATTTACAAAACACACTAGATAAGTCATCTCTTATCTCTCAACTACCAAACAAATTCTGAGCACTACTTCGGCAATGCTACATGATATTCTAGACTATTGAATATTAACATACAAATATCAATAATATGCAACACTTGGGTGAAAATTTTAAACAAACATATATATTTGATGCTTTTATTACTGTGACTAATAATTAAGCACCTGATAGACAAAAGGCAGAGGAAGGCTGCAAGAAAGTTCTTACCATGTTACAATCCACCAGAACTAAAGTCTCCGAATGGGATCTCTGTAAGCTCGTTTTCTACGATTTCTTCTTCTTCGTCTTTCTTCCAGATGGAAAGTCCTCTCAAGACCTTGATCAACATGTTTGTAGTACCATTGCCTCCACCTTTTACATAAAGCAAGTGCCCCAATGAAGCTTCCCAACCCAACAACAAATCCGAATGCAACACTTACATAGATTCCAGGCTCAAAATCTAAATCTCCATCTTCATCAGGTGTTAATGGCAAGACTCCTGCTGGCATTTGAACATCAATGCAATTAGTGTTCAAAGGAAGCCCACATAATCCTATGTTTCCTTCAAAGGAAGTTTCTGAAAATGTTTGAATTTGAGTGCCTATTGGGATCCTTCCAACGAGGTGATTATATGATAGGTTCAGGAATGAAAGAAATGAAAGACTTGCAAGTTGCTCTGGGATGCTTCCACTTAGCTTGTTACATGAGAGGTCTAATGATCCAAGCTGTGTCAAATTTCCAAGTGATAATGGAATATCACCAGTGAGGGCATTGTATGACAGGTTGAGAACATAGAGGTATTTCAGACCCCCAACTATATCGGGTATCTCTCCTTCAAAATTATTGCTTGAGAAATCAATAGATTTAAATATAGCTAAGATCTTCACAAGCTCCCACTGTTGCCCTTTCATGGTAACTGTCACTGTATCTTGATAGTAGAAGTGATCAAGGTATAGGAACTCATAACGCAGGTGATCGAGTTTTGATTGTCCATTACCCTCATCAACCATCATTGCCTTCCAATGTAAGAAGCTATTTTTCGGCAGAGGTCCAGTGAAGTAGTTCAAAGCTAGGTCAATAATTTGAAGCCTTGGCCAACTATTAAACTGGTCCCCTCCACATTGAATGCCTCCTTGGAACCTGTTGGATCGCAAATTCAGTACGCGCAAATGGGATGAGTTCTTCAAGAAGCAAGGGAATTTATCACTTATGGTATTGTAACCAAGATTTAGAACCTCCAAATTTGTACAATTGGCCAGAGATTGTGGAATCTGTCCGTCCAACTGATTCCCATTAAAGTTCAGTGTCTTTAAAGCACAAATTTCCGGGAATGTCCCCGAAATATTACCAATAAGAATATTATTGCGCAAATTTAGTACCTCAAGAGTCACAGAACAACTTTCAATCAAACATTGCGGTATAGTGCCACTTAATCTATTGCTGGACAAATCAAGAACTTGAAGGTTGGTTGAGTTGCATATCGATAGAGGGATGACACCAGTGAGGTTATTATTTGAAAGAGAGAAGAAAAGAGCAAGGGTCAGGCTGTTTCCAATTTCAGCCGGGATAGAAGAGGAGAAATTATTGCTCGAGTAGTCCACATACATAACTGATTGTGATGGTATTGGGATTTCGCCATGGAGCTGATTGGAGTGTAGGTCAATGACACTAAGACTAGTAAAATTATATTGTCTCAGCATTCCCACTAGGAGATTACAAGAAAGATTCAGATACACTAAATATCCACTGGTAATGTTCCAAATCCAATCAGGTATTTCCCCAGAAATTTGGTTGTCTGAAAGATCTAGTTGAGTAATTGTTGATTGGTTCACAAGTGGAGGAAATTTTTGTAGCTTGCAGGAAGCCAATCTTAATATGTTGAGCTGGGGAAATGAAGACAAGCTAGAAATATTGACATTTGCATTGACTATCAACCTGTTGTATGAAAGGTCGAGTCTCACAAGATTTTCCAGGCTTTGAATCCATTCAAGCTGTATGGTGCCACTGAAGTTGTTGAAAGAAAGTGAGAGGACATTAAGCCTTCCAAAATCAAAGAAATATGTGGGAATAGGCCCTTGCAGTTTGTTACTACTCAAATCTAGTGTATTCAAAGGAGACAAGGACCCATTTAGAAATCCAGCAACTTGACCACCAAATTGGTTAACAGAAAGCCGAATTTTCTGCATTGATGGTAGGGAAAACAGAGACGAGGGAATACTCCCACTGAATGAATTGTATGCTAAATGGATATTTTCAAGATTTGAAAGGCCTTCAAAGTGAGTGGAAGGAACTGAACCTGTTAGAGCATTATGGGAGAGGTCTACGTAGGTGAGATTCTTGGACATTTGAAAGGAAGGGATTGAACCAGTAAAGTTGTTAGATGATAAGTCCAAATAAACAAGTTGACTGAGGTTTGCCATTGAATTTGGAATGGTTCCACTGAAATTGCAGTGTGAAAGATCTATCCTGGACAGATTTCTCAGGTTACTAATAGAATCCAGTAATCTGCCTGAAAAATTCGTGTCGAAAAGTACCAGGTTCTGAAGGGATCCATTTTGTAGAAACTCCGGCAAAGAACCCTGAAGCTTTATGTTTTCTGACAAGTCCAGAGTCTGCAGGGTTGGTACTTGGAAAATCTTTTCCGGAAATGTTCCGTACAAGTTGGCATAACTGAGTCTCAAGGCTGTCAAATTTGTGAAATTGGCAAAGAACTCTGGAACTGGAACAGAGAGATCATTAGAACCCAGATGGATCTCAGACAGAGACTGAAGCTTCAAAAGAGAAGAATCAATAGGGCCAGAAAGATAACAATTGGACATGCTCAAAACTTGCAGATTAGGCAATGAAGAGGAAATGGCCTGACACCATTCACTCCCCTGAGCCGATATATTTATGCCATCAAGATAGAGATTTCTAAGACCAGTGAGGTTTTGAATAAGCGTTAATAAATTTGGGTTCTCAAGTTGAAGTCTAGCAGTTCCAGGTAAGTACGGATCAGGGAAGAAAAGAGCAGATAGGTCAAGAGTAGCCAACCTTTTCAAGCATGACAATCCAATCGGAATCTGCCCACCAAATCCAGCATTAGACAAATTCAGATATTTCAGACTAATAAGGTTGCCGAAACTGGATGGAATTTGTTTCCAGTTGAAGCTGTTGTTAGCCAAATTCAGGCTCTCAAGAAATTGAAGACTGAAAAGACTACTTGACTGGTCGATTCCATCAGAGATGAATTCGCTGTTCAGGTCGAGACCTGTAACATGACCGGCTTGATCACAAGTCACACCCTTCCAATCACAACAATCTTTGCTTGGAGTCCAATTCACCAATTTGACAGAAATTGCAGGATTGAATTTGAGGCTATTCTGCAATTGGAGCAACAATGATCTTTGATCCTCCAAACATTGGCTATAGACTGGAATGGTTCTAATGCAGAGGATAGTAACTATGGTGATTGAGAAAAGCCAAATAATTCTCATTTTTTGCTTATGGTGAAGCACACAAATGACAATGAAATGCATTGCTAAAGTTTGGAGTGGTGGCTTTAAGATAGCACAAAAGAGACCTCTCAGTCATGCATGTGAACTTAACTCAAAATATACTTGACATGAAGGCAAAATTGATATTGGCTTTGTAGAATATGATTAAAAACTTTCTTGCACCAACTTTGAATGTTCCAAGTCCTGTGTAGTCGGACAACGATGGAGACAGACTGACTAGTCAGCAATACGGTATAATATCACCAGAATTTCATGTTGTTACGGTATTCATTTTATGTGTTCGCCAGCCAAATAGTCACGGAGAAATGGGAGAGACCCCAGATACATAACCCCTAAATTCACCCTTAATGATACAGCAGGATTTTGGATTTTAAGTGTTTGATTTTGTTAGCAAAAATTTGGTTTAGATCAAATCGATAGAAAGATTCAACTGAGAAATCAATATTTCACAAACAACAAACAGATCAAGCAATTGTGGTTGGTATCTTATGCTTTGACAGATTCAAGAACTTCTTTGGAGGTAATCGACATAGAGAAACAAACTAAAACTGATATTGTATTGCTGAAATTGCTACTTGTTACAAAGATTTGAACAAGAACAAAAACAGAAATACAAAAAAACCAAAACAAAAGTTTATTGATTGCAAGAAACAGAAAACCATTACAAAACCACTAAATTAAAGCTACAAAAGCTACTCCTAAAGAAATTCTTCTTCTACAGATCTATTCTAACAAATGTTGAGTGTTGATGATTTGTTGATTCCCTTCTTGCTTCCTCCTTGAGCCTATTTATAGGCTTTTGTTCACGGTTTCAATTGCTCAACAACTGCTATAGGTAGTTTCTTTACCTATTTAAGTCCACGTGTTACCATCTTTTTAGCCACTTTCCTTTGCTCTTTCAAAGATTATTTCCTTCTTTCTAGCCATTTCCTTAACTGCTCATAACTGTCCATAATTGCTTCCAACTCTCTTTTTTGTCCCACACACTTCAACTTGAAACCCAAGACTTGCCAAGATCACTACCAAACTTCAGTCGACCGATAATTTAGAAAATAGGTACAAACAGTATATTATTGCCAAATGGCCTGCATTACAATAAAATAAATAATAATAATAAATGTGGTCAAAGTTACTCTAAAAAAAATGATTTATAGTCTAAACCAAGAGACCAAAATCGATGGGCCACAATCAATAAGATTAGATTTGGCCTCAATTGACAAAAAATTAATTTATGGTGTCAATAGATTTCTAAACCGATCAATAAATGACATGGAATAATCCACAAAGTTTTTTTTCCATAGTCTGGTGGGAGTGGGACAAGTACATTATAAAAAAAAAACAGATGATGATGCTACATTCAATGGTGGCAGACTTGGAAAGACTTATCGGTTCCGTATCAAGGTCTAGGTCTAGGTCTTTTTCTCTTAATTAATTATAAAAAAAATAAATAAATAAATAAATAAAACAAAATGGTCCTTATCTTTGATTTGATTTAGCTTTGGTGAAATGCTTAGAAACAAATTAATGCTTACAGGAATGTTGAAACAAATGACTGAGTAGGGACACAGTACATAAGCAAAATCTACTCTACATGATAATACTGTCGGATTGTGGAGTGTAAACTGGGTGTAGAGGTTACAAGCCCTTTAGGTAATATTTAATCTTGAAATTATCAATTCCTTTGAATAGTATATTATATCTCATATTTGGATTGGTTAAAGATTTTTTTTTACTTTTTATTTTTTTATTTTTTTTATCGACGGAAGTTAGTAGTTAGTTGTAGCGCAAATGATTGATAAATGTTAGAATTTTTATCCTAATTGTTAATGTACACTAAACCTAACCCACTAACCTAACCCACTACATCCACCCCACTAAACCTAACACACTTACCATCTCCACTACCACCCACCACCTCCACTACCATCCACTACCACCACTCACTTACCTCACACCTCTCCTATATAATAGCTTGTAACATACAAATCAATATACATACAATCTTGTAATAAATCAATCAATAATATATATCAATTTATTTTACACTAATGAGCCTTTGTATTTTGGCAATCCCTTTCTTGACATTGATTCAAGAAGTTTGGATTTTTTTATTTTAAGAAATCACTTTGTCAGATTTGTTTTAGATTCTCTGGATTGATGTGGTTGCTTGATGTCTTACATTGTCCATATTTCAGAGTTAATTTTTTCAAAAATTTATCTATGAAAGAGGTGGCTAAATTCAGTGAATGTACAGATTTTAAGAAGTTGTCTGCGGAAAACAGAGGAGAAAAAGGGGACTGTTTATCTCGGATTGATTGGCCAAAAGCATGGGTCAAGATTTGATGGAAGAAGGCTAAAAGTGGCAGTTTGTCATGTGATTATTTTTGCAGGATATGGGTTGAAGAGATGAAGGAAATCAGAGCAAAAGTCTGCAAATTCGGCTAAGCAATCATTCAATATCGTGCCCGCGAATATGTCAGTCGCACCCGCAATGTACAAACATCGCGCCGGCGCTTAGGCCGCGACCAGGCCGCGATGAAAACATGCTCCCAGTATCTTCCCAACATTCATCTCTGCGCACGCGAACATCACATCGCGCCCCCAGAGAAGGCCGCAAACAGCCCGCGATCAAAATGAGCTCCCAGAACTTTTTCTCTGCTACCCACGAAGAATAGTTGGCGCCTGCTAAAGGCACAGTTGCGCCCACGACCATGAAGTTCACGCCTGCGACGGAGGATTGTCTATTTATATCTAGCTTGTTCTGTTTTGTGATTCATCCATCCTGTCTTAAGTTTGAGACTTGTCTGAGAGAGTGTTGTAGTGAGGTTACTTTGTATACTTCTCTCATGTTTACTTGATGATCCATTTACATCTTTAGATCTTTCATGAAATCATCAAGTCTATAACAAACAACTAAACAGTTTATGAGTGTTCTTGAGGTGTAAGCTCTACTGGAGTCTAGAGCATTCTTGTTGTGGACTCAACACCGTTATTGTGGATTCAATAGCGGAGGCGGATATCCACAAGATGAAGGATAGAGGTTGAGCTACTTGTACATCTCGAGCAAACTGGTGTGCCTTGATTGGTCTTTATAAAAAATTTCTAATACTACTCTTCTTCATAGAGGATTATTCTTGTGGCCTAGCGGCCGTGATTTTTTTATCAAATGTTGATGAATTCTAACTGTGATTTTTCTACGTAAAAAGTTGTGTTGTGCTTGCTTGTTATCTTCTCTTTAATAGTTGATCATGATTGTTTTTAGACTTCTTTAATCAATAATCACAAGAGATCATGGGACTTAGATTTTTGACGTGACAATTCGTCCGAGGTGACCACTTGAGCAGTGAAAAGACCACTCGAGCGAAGATGAGGTGGTTCTAGTAATTTGTTTTGCAGGTCGAGGGACTGCTCAAGCGATCAAATGGTCGCTCGAGTGAAGAGGAGGTATCTCATTTTGCAGGCAGAGATACTGGGAGGTTTCGTTCAACGCTCGAGCAATGACAAGACCGCTTGAGCAGTCTGCGCGATATGCCACTTAAAAGTGACTTTTTAGATCATTTTCTTCACCTTTTCTTTCCTTCCTTCTCTTCTCTCTCTCTAGCTCCGAAAACCCTAGTTATATCTCTCTAAAAATCTCCCATTCTATTTAGATTTATAACCCTTTCCTTACAAAAGTTGGAGTTTGGGTGGAGATAAAGTGTTTTACCGATTGGGTTGGGATTTTATGAAGAGTTCTTCGATCATCTAGCTTCTTGGTCTTGATTTTTTAGGTAGGATTACTTTTAACAACGTGTCTCTTTGATTTGAAGATGTTTATGTGGTATTGTTATAACATTGATGAAGTGATGAATGTTTGAGTTTGCACATTGAAGTTTTCTTTCAAAAATGGAATTTCTCTACCTTTTTGTTAAGATTCCTTGTATTATTCTTGGACTATGGAAATTTTACATGAGAAATGGCCTTAGATATGATAGAGGAGCAAAGGCCTTAATTTTTGAAATTTGAAGATAATGTGATTACATGAAATTGGTCTTCAATTCTTTAAAATTGGTGATTGGATTATGTTATTTGAAAGGTATTTGAATTGAGAATTGTGAAATTTGGATGTTCTTGAGATTTTATTTATGATTTTGGGATTTGTCATTTTACAGTTATACCTCAGTGGCTTAAATGGTGAAAAATTACTTTAATCTTCATGAATGTATAAACACTAGAAGCCTTGGAAAGATTGTTTTAAGGGGGTGGTAAATAGCGTGTGAGTCCGGGTAAGGAGTTAATTTTGGGAAATGGTTGTCTATTGTGTTGGTACCCACACATAGAGTTAAGGTGCCCAATTGCCCTGTCTTGAGCTTATTGCTAGACAAATGTGGAAAAGTGTTTTTGGGTGTCCACTAGTCCTACCGTATTGTAGTCAGTAAAAGTGAAAAAAAAAATGATTTTAGGTTCCCATTCCCTACCATATTAATAGCCGGCAAATGTAGGGATATTTTTTACTATAAACATATGTATATATAAGTATTGGGACTCTCCTTAAGGGCTTCATGGTGTATTTACCCCCCGGTGTTGAGTTATGGGATTGTGAACGTTATAAATTTGTACATCTTCTCTTCAATAAATTTTATGAACTAAATTAAACATGTTTGATTGTGATAATGCCATGTGAATTTTCAAATAATTAGATACTCTGTTAAAAGTATTTCTACAAGGCATCTAACTCATTCATATCTAACAAATTTTCAGGAATTGGTGATGTGCAACCATCTCAACGAGAAGGAGGTGGACTCTTTGGTTTTTTTGTTGGAACATGAAGGGTCATGGATGTCTAATGTGAAATCTCCGAGCATTTTTGTCTGAGGACCATGTATCCATTTTGTTGTAACAAGGCCTTACCTTGCTTATTTGTAAGCCATTAAGGCATCATGCACGTATCCTCTAACTTGTTAAACTATGTTAATGTTGATGTATCTATTAGTTGAACTTAGAACGTGTAAATTGAAACTATAGTTCAATGAGAATGGGGACTTTTGGGGTTAATGTTATTATTTGACATGATAAGATTTCAGATTAATCATGTTATGGGTAATATTTTAATTTAAATAATTTTGGGGCATTACATTTGATCTAAG